GGTGTGCTCAGCTCATTGCGCAGCCGAGACGCGCCAGTGGTGAACGCCTTGATCGGCGAAGATGGCACCGAGCCGCCGGCGCGCGTGGTGCTCGCGTCGGGGACAGGCAGTGGCCGCGCAACGGTGGCGAGCGCTTCGGCCGTACGGTGCTTCTGCGCAGCCAGCTCGGTCTCGAGTTGCTTTGCGCGCACATTGGCCCGTTCCAGCTGTGCTTCCAGGGCGCTGAGCCGTTGCACATCCTGGTCGCGCCCCGTGGCAGCTGCGCGCGCCTTGGCCAGCTCCACCTGCAGCGTGCGGCGCTCCTCTTCGGACTGCGACAGCTCGTCGCGCACCGACGCCAGCTCGCGCTCCGCCTGCGAAGTCGCCGATGCCGAGAGCGCACGCCGCGCCTCGTCGAGCTCGGATTGCAGACGCTTCAGTCGGCGTTCGCGCTCGTCCAGCTCGGCCACACGCTGGTCGAGACCAGGCTGGCCGCGCACCAGGTCGCGGAACTCGGCGTTGACATCATCCTCCTCGCTCGCCGCTGGAGCCGACGCCGCCTGCTTTTCGAGCTCGGCAATGCTGTGCTTGGCCTCCTCCAGCTCGGAGCGTAGTGCCTGCTCCGAATCGGCCGCCTGGCGACCTTGAAGCTGGGCCTCGTCCGCTGCCTTGCGCTGGGCCTCTAGCGCCTTTCTCATCTCGTCGAGCTCCGACTGGAGCTTGCGACTAGCTTCTTTCGCCTCGGCCTCCTTGGCGGCCAGCTGGGCACGCAGCGCCTCGATCTCGGACTGGAGCGCCTTGTCGCCGTCGTCGGCGCGCGCCTTGGCCACGAGCTTGAGCAGCCGATTCGCCTCCTGCTCCTCGAGCAGCTTCTTCTTGTGCTCGCGCGCCTTCTCCTGCTCCTTGAGCGCGATCTTGCGTGCCTCGTCGCGCTCGCCTTTGAGCTTCTCGTACGCGACTTCGGCCTCGTCGAGCTCCTCCTCGTTGAGCCGGATGGCCTCCTGCAGCTCGGCGTGGCGCGCGTCGCGCGCGGCGAGCTCGGCCGTGTGCGCGGCCTCGAGCGTCTGGCGTGCCTCGATCTGCTGCCGCAGTTGCCGGCGCAGCGCAGCCAGCTCCGCCTCGAGCTCAAACGGCTTGGTGCCACTCAGTGTTTCGGGCGCCGTGCTGGGCCCGGCGACGGGACTGTTGTAGGCAGAGCCGCTGGCAAAGTGCAGGTCGCTCATGCGCGGACCGCGACGTGCAAGTGCCGAGGCGTGAGGACGGGCGCGGACGGGCGTGCTCGGAGCCGCAACCGCATCCGACGTGTCGGCAGCCACCGTCTGGCTGGTAAGGATGAGGCGCGTGAGGTGCTCGATCTGCGACTTGAGATCGGATCGCTGCTTCTGCATGCTCTCGACCTCTTTCTGAGCCGCCGCCTTCTGCTGGTTGAGCTCGTCGAGCTTCTGCTGCGATTCGAGCGACAGTGCCGGATCCAACGCCGCCACGGGCGCGGGCTCCTCTGGGTTGGGCGAGGCGCCGTTTGCCTCGAGCCGCGCACGCAGCGCATCGAGCTCCTTGCGGTACTTCTGCAGCAGCGCCTTGTCATCCATGGCGGTGCCCTTCTTGGCGGTGGTCACGACGAGCTTGCAGCGCTTGCCGAACTTGAGCGTGGAGAGCGTCTCGTTGGCATGCTCGGTATCGGGGCTGAGCGTGCAGATTACGGCGATGCGCGCGTTGCCCGAGAGCGACGTCTGGAGGATGCGCGTGAGCTTCGAGTCGCGGTAGGGGATGTGCGCGTCGGCGGTGTCGGTAGGCTCGGTGAGCTTGCCAATCACAGTACCGAGGGTGAGGAGGGACTTGTTGATGAAGGCGCCTTCTTTGCGGCGCTCGGCCTGGCTGGCTGCACGCTCCGAGCCGGCAAGGTCGATGAGGTTGAGCTGGCTGATGCGCACTTCTTTGCCCGCCGAGGCGGTCTGGCGTGCGCGGGACTCGATGGTGAGCTGGAAGACGCAGTGCGAGCGTGAACTGCGTTCGTTCCAGTCGGTGGCACCGACGTGTCGCTCATCCTGTCCGCGCTGGATCAGGTCGAGCACGGTGTCTGCGTCCGTGACGATCTCCTCGCGCAAGCCGGTGATGATGACGCGGCTCTGTTTCTGGTCCTCGATGATGCGCAGCGTCGACGACTGTGCCGCGCCCGCAGCATGGGGGGAGCCGCCTTTGATGGGCGATGCCGGACGATCGGTGGTCTGCAGCGACGCACCAGCGCCCGAAAGCGGAGGCAGGGGAGCAAGCAGATCCTTGAGCGTCTCGTTGTAGATCTCAAGGTAGCTGACGCGGAGCAAGAATTCACGGTCAGGCTCCTGCTTGATCATGTCAAACACCTGCTGCACGGCGCGCGGGATGACGCCTGGCTCCGTGTCGCTGCCGGACATGGTGTGCGTCTTACCACTTCCGGTCTGGCCGTAGGCGAAGACAGTACCGTTGTAGCCGTCCATGGCTGCACGCACGACGGGTGCAATGTGAGAGTGGTACATGTCGTCGGTCGTTTGCCCATCGGCGATGAGCTTGTCAAATTGGAAGTGATAGGTGGAAGATGAGGCGTCGTCGTCGAGGTCGTGCGAGGACGGTGCGGCGACCATGGACGAGCCGGCGCCTGCTCGCTCAGACGAGGTGGTCCTCTTGGCGATGGCGGGATGGTGCTCGGTGGGGACGATCTGGCTCTTGTCCAGGTCGCACTTCCACACCGGAGCTTCTGATACTGATGCGCTGGCTCGCGAGGGACGCATGCGCACGCAGACGACTACATTCTGTTTCGAGTCGGAGGAGGTCGATGCTGTCTCTACTGGCTTGGCTGGCGAGGTCGAAGGTGTCAGGCACGACGAGCCCTCCTCTGTGACCGTGGCCAGTGTGGAGTCTGGCTCCTTGAGCGTCTCTGCGGCGCCAGTGGTAGCGGCATTCTGGGTGGCAGTCGATGTGGTCGTGGATGCAGCCGACTTGGTGAAGGGGGACGATTTGGCGGCCGAGCCCACCTTGGCCTTCTTGGCCATGGCAGCTACGGTGGAGCTTCTATGGGCTGATCTGGTGGTGGGGCTGGTGGGCGAAGCTCGTTGCGTGGTGGAAGATGGGCGCGATTTGGCGCTGACAGAAGACCTGGAGGTGCGAGATGAGGCTAGATGGGAGGGCCTGCGGGATGGTGATGTTTCATCAAGGCGCTTGACACGCTGGGAGGTGGAGGTGGCAGTAGTGGTAGGAGTGGCAGCTGGCTTGACGGGCTCTGGTAAGGGCGTCGCTAATTCGGCCAAGGGCTGCACGGTGAGGCAGGGCTCTGAGGGCGAGGAAGCGAGCGAGGTGGAAGGGGAGCGTGCAGCCGAGTTGGGCGATGAGGTGGAGGCGGAAGTGTGAGCGTGCAGAAGGGAGAGGATGCTACTTGTGCTGCCTGAAGCGCTGCTGCGGGATGATGCGACTGAGTCTACAGCAGAGAGCGCAGAGGTTGCCGAGCTGCTTGGAGTGAGACCGGGCGCGCTAGCCTTTGGGCCGAAGGATGGGGAAGAAGGAGATGAAATGGCGGAGGGGGTGGAGGCGGCAGAAGCGGAGGATCGGAAGCGAAACATGATACAGATGCACGGCTGAAGCTCGCGTGACAGGGACTAGGGACTTTGCAGTGGGACTGGGAAACAAGAACGGCAGGGCGAAGGCGGCTGTCGAATCTGTACGGCACCAGGCCAGCTGATGGAGCACGCGACGAAATGAAGTGGGGGCAGGTGTGCAGCCGGCAGCTTGTGCGGTGGCGTCGTTGTGCGGACGTATGCGAGCGAGAAAGACTTGAGGGTACAGCAGCTTGGTTTGCAGCTGGGGGACAGGAAGATGCTGGTGGTAGGCGGCAAGACAATTGATATGGTGGTAGAAGTGTGTGTCAACCCCGAGGGCCGGAGTATAGGATGCAGCAGGTCGATTGATTTGAGTTTGGCAGACGAGCCTGGCTGTCGACTTGTCCCATCTTACCGGGACAGCTCAAGAAGAAGCGGCTGCATCGTGGGGTCGTGCGTGCAGTACGACAAGGCAGCCGCGGCGGTGGAGCAGTGTGGTGTTGATGTTGAGTCAATCTCCAACAGCCTCTGCAGTGTTGCGCAGCGGCATCGCAGCTCAGCAGACGCGCGCTTCTCGTGGC